GCGTGGGATGAGGATTTCGACGCTCCAGTACCTGCCGCCTCCTCGTCGTCGTCCGCCCAAGGCCCGTCAGCTCACACACGGTCAGTGCAGTTCATTGAACACATGGCCAGCGCCTGGGATGAAGAACTTTGTCTTGGGCTGCAACAAGAGGAGATGGACAGGGTGATGTCGGGTCAGCCGCAGTCCGCAGCTGGCAACCACGTGGTGAACGAGTTTGCTCCGAACCCGGACGACATCCCCCTCTCCTACCTGGCCGAGTCCTCCTTGGCAGGACACTCACAGTTAGCAGAGGGACAAATTCCGGGACGATGTGAAGACGAAGATGAAGATGTGGAGGTTCGCGTCCTACCTGAATGGGATTGGCCACAAACGGACGCCGCCACAACTGCCCCCTCGCCAAGGTATGACAGGAACAACTTCGAGCAGATGAACGACGCCGGGGTGCAAACGTCAGCCTCATCATCGAGCTCCTGCCCTCCTACGTGGACCACGCCACCCTCTTCTTCGAGCTCCTGCCCTGCTACATGGACTGCTCCCACACAAGAGGACTCCGCTGACAACTCCCTGCCGAACCAGCCAGCGGCCCAGAGCTTCTACCCGACCTGGACACCATGGACACCGGAAGGTACCCGAGAGGATGAGGAGCCCACTACCTGCCCAGACTGGCTCCACCAGGTCGTAGACAAGCGCAACCTTAGAGGGAGGCCAAGCTCCGTCACTCGGCTCGGACAAGAGGGTGAACGCGGAACAAGCAGCGATGTTGGGGTTACCCAAAGGTTTGGCCGCACCAGGCCGGGGCTGGATCGTTGGCATCATCCTGATGGTACAATCCGCTGCCGACTACGCGAACGACTACCTGCTGAACCTGCTCAACCTCCACTCCCGACGGTCCCGGAGGAGACTCAACCCTGGGCACAGATCGTCGGCCAGGCGGGCATCGAGGAGACCACTGGCGACGCTTTATTGTTGGTCGAAACACGCACTGGGGAGACTTTCAAGGTGCGCTCCAACCCAACGACGGAAGAAGTTAGCACGACGGCGGGGGAGGAGGGGGATTTGGCGGACACCGAGTCCGGGCTTTCCTCCTCCGATGCGGCGGACACCACCACTGTCGGCTTTTGGCGGGGTGGAGTTTGGATTGGAAGACCACGCACGGAAGCGGAACTTCGACAACACCGGGGTGGAGGGGGCGAGGTACGAACCCGTCGTAAAAAAGAGAGGATGCAAGCGTACTTTGATGGGCGATGGAAACCTGCGTGGCTCCAGAACTACATCAATGACAAGCAACAGCGCCTCCAGTCGAGCGGGACTATGTCTACACAGGCCGAGGGCAACCCAGCCAACCTGTCACAGGAATGCGCTGGATCAGGAGAGGTGGCCGCGGAGATGGGGGAGCACAGTGGTTGGATACAATGGGAATCCGAGCCGAACAGCCAGCCAACCGGGGAAAACAGTCAGCCAACCTGGGAAAACAACGACTGGGTCAACTCGACCTGGTCCTGGCAGTCCTCGTCGTCCTGGGGTACCTCTTCGTCCTGGTCGGATACCTCTTGGAATATGGGATTGTGGGAGGGATACTCGAGCAACGCGGAACAATGGGGGCCACAAGCCTGGACTTCCACGACCACGTCGACCACCAGCTCACACCATGGGTACGACTGGCTCAATGATCAGTCGAATACATCCACGACCACGTCCACTTCCTCCTCCTTCGTCGACATGGACACAGACTGGACGCCCCATGGGAGCACGGGTGGCACTATGAACCAGGGGAACTTTGCCGCGGTGCCGGGATTTGGCCTCTTCCCTGACGTGAGACCCCACTGTATGAGGAGGTATCATGGCTTATGCAGCTCACGAACAGCGAGAGGGCCACCTTACAGGAGAACAGCCTCACCAACGAGAACATTCAGCGTGTGGAGGAACTCCTACACCAACTCGATGATCACCAAATTCATGGAACCGGACCCGAGGCGCGATGGGCGCTTGCACGCCTTACCGCTCGCCTCGAAGATGGCATACAAACACTGGGGGCGACATTGGACATTCTACATCGCCGCCTTCTACCTCGCGGATATCTGCCAATCCAAAGAATACCTGGGGAGGAAATTGCACGGCTGAGATGGCTCAATTGGGCGCGACAGTTCACCACACTCTTTACAAGGGCCCTCGAACACAACCTCAGAGCGCCCCTTCAACCTCAAGAGTGTGACCCCACGGAAGGCATCATGCTCGGCTTCAACACGGCCCCACCATATAGCTTGGCTAGCTCATCCGGTGAGCAACGCCCACGCAGCCGTAGTCCTCCAAGGGCCGCACAAGCAGGATGCTCCACACAAGAGGCTGAGAACAGGGCACCTTCTGGCAACTCCGCACAGGCAAGCACGAACTTTGTGGTGGATGAAGTGGGAAGCCCGCCTGGCACATCCGGCTCTGGAAGCATTGCTCCGAACAGCGAGGGTGATGAGTCGGAGCAGCAGCTGGAAGTTGACCAACCTGTTGACCCTGCCCTTCTACCTGGCATCTGGAGAGACCCGCCGTTGGAAGATTTGTCCAATGATGCCAGTGCTTTCGGGGGTGACTCAACGGGGTCGCGACCTACCCGTACCAGCACAACCACAACATGGGGTGACGTTGTCTGCCCGTACCTGACCCTTCCGCACGTCGTCAACAACGAGAACTGGGATGCTCAGGAGCCGGCAACCTCCACAGAGGGTGATGACGAAACTTCCTACATGCAGTCCTACCCCTTCGCGTGGCAGTGCTCTTCTACCAGTACGACCACCACCAGCTCGTCTTCGGTTGGACTATGGCCCGCTGTGCTGGTTAGGGAAGCGACGCTCACCGAAACAGCGATGGGTGGACAGGCCGACATGGTTGATCTACTTCGCCGGCTTCTTGATCGCCAAAGGACCATGCGCCACTGTCAAAGATTGCTGGGTGAAGCCATTGAGGAGCTCCTGGGGCGAATTGACGTACCTCGGCATGAACTTCCCCTGAACGCGGCCACAATGGACGCGAACATCTGGGGAGTTGTGGCGCGGGAAGCAACCAGCGGCAGCGGGACTTCACAGTTGGCCACAGTCTTGCCGGGAGGCCAACCGGCTGTCCTGCTGCAACCTGGCTTGCCTGTCGACATCCCAGCCCTGCATGGAGCACTACCTGGCATCGGCGAGGGCACCCTCGCTGGATACAGGCGCCGGGCATGGCGAACACATGTTGCCAGACTGTACAACCGCGCTGGTCGTGATGTTCCCCTTGGAAACTGGCCCTCTGAGGCAGACCGTGACCTGTACCTCCTCCAGACGGATGCCAACACGCCGGTGCCGAACCTGCCCTCGGAATGTGCTCCCCCGGAGAGGCCGTACCTACAACGTCGTCTCCATGGGACCGCTGCTCGCCGTCGTGGACAACGTCTTCTCCATGGGCTACCAGTCACAACGCCAATGGGACCGGGCCCTTCTTCTACGACGGAAACGGCCCCCTCTTCTACGACGGTGACGAGCCCCTCTTCTACGACAGTGACGGTCCCCTCTTCTACGACAGTGACGGGCCCCTCCTCCATGACGGCGAGTCGTGAGAGAAGTCGGAGCCGCGACGCGGGAGATCTAAACTAAAGCCCGAAGTGGAATAAGAGCAGTGTCTGATGTGTGTGGAGTCTACTGAGAGCTTATTTTCAGTGCACACTCGAAAGGAGTGAGCCTTTGACTTCATGCGGAGACAGGGGCTACTGCATTTTTTTTTAAAAAAAAAACTCCCTAAACCTGCATTCATCGAGTCGGACCCGCAACGAGGCAACGTGGCCTACTGTTGGCTGGCGAGTCCTGAGGTACCGCACCTGCGCAAGCTCTTGAGATTAAGTTAAACCAGCTGAAATTACGTTGCTTCTTTGTTGTCACCCAGATGAACTGCAGTTATCTGACTCCTGTCTGAGGCCTAAGCCCCAAAACCTCGCATACCTCTAAGTTCCACAGTTCCCAGGTCCCCACAGTGGAATAAATCCACTTCCGACGTTGGCCCTTCGCCTAGACCGAACTAGTTCCTAGAGCTCTGACAGATTTTCCAAGGACTGTTGAAGAGGCTGGAAGCCCTTATACTACCCCTGCAATACCCGTATCCCTTACCACATCCTCCCTCAAAGTACCCTTAAGGCTTGTAGTACCCTCATAGCACCCAATGGGAGCGAGGGAAACGATGAAAATGCTGAGTTTCTCCCGAGCGAAGTCTAGGGCTTACGCTTGAGGGTCCTGAACCCTGTAAACCCTACGCCTTAAACCCTAAACACTACCTTTAGAACCCAAAACCTACTTTTTTGTAGGGTCCCTATAAATCCCATATGAGGGTTTATAATAAGAACCTACAAAAAAAGTGGGTTTTGGGTTCTTAAGGTAAGCCCGAACCCGGCTTGAAAAGCTTTGTTTCTTTTGCAAGCGCTCGCACAAAGTTGGTGCTCCACTGGAACTCATGGCGAAGCTCCCAGCCCAGAGTTCCCGAGAGAGTTCGAAAAATCTAGCTTCACGGAGCATCTGGGGGTTGGAGTATAATATATCTAGGGGCCTGAAGAGTTAGGATATTAGGATAGGGTTTTGGGGGATAGTAGACATAGTTGTATTCGGAACTACAAAGGGTTATTGCTGCAGCCAGGAGACTGCAACAATCCAGGACGTGACCATCTTGCTTGTGAGTGAAGTCATGATCGCGGTGTTAACCTTCGACGCCCCTCCCTCCGTCACTGTCACCTGCATCATCACCGCAATCGCCCTCACCATCAGAATCGTCATATAGGATAAAACCGGGTATAGCCATCGTTCACACTATTGGGTTTGAGTCAGACTACACCTTGGCTTCTCAATGCTCTAAACCACATGGGTGGTTGTCAAAATTATGGTCCCTTTTGGGGTACCCTAAATAATAGGTGCCTTATTATAATAAGGACCCAAAAAGGGACTATAGTTTTGACAACCACCCACATCACGATCACAGCAAGCTCTCCAAAGCAGGCTGTGTGGATCGCGCAGCAGTTCCTCCATCGCCTGACCCCTCAGAATGGCTTGCATCGAGATTGAGATGTGTTCGGCTTATGCTTATACACGTTGCGATGTATGGTTTCAAGATGTCTCAAGCTTTCTGGGGTTGGGGCTTAAGATGTAGGAGTTTGCGGTTCGTGGTCTCGAAGCATTCTGCTTCTCGGAGTGAGCGAAACGAGATTGCGGGTTCGTGATCCTTCATGATTGCACACAGCAGCTCCACCTCCTCTCCTCCTACCTTGATAACCATACTTTGAATGAGCAGACATACCGAATCGGACCATAGCCATAGTCCTCAGACCTGTACGGCTACCAACAATATTTCGTTTGAGGGCTTTTAACGAGCAGTGCTCCTTCATGAGACAAAGAATCAAGGACCGGCAATCCACTGCCAACCATGCAAGACAGGGCCACGAATGGCCCTACTGTACGCCTTACACTTTACACTTTAAACCCTGACACCCTAGTTGCTAAACCCTAAACAACAAACGCTAAACGGGAACCCTAAAGCTAAACCGAGCCCTAATTCCTAAACCCTAACCCTAAGCGCAAAATTCCTGTACCCCAAGCCTAAACTGAACTCATGGTGGCTCAGGGCCTCCGAGCTTCATTCTACCTGATGAAGCGGCCCTTAGGGCCGTGAAGAGGCCGGCCTAGGGTTTTTGGGTTTAGGGTTTAGGGTTTAGGGTTTAGGGTTTAGGGTTTAGGGGTTTAGGGGGCCGATATGGGTAGTTCTCTAAACCAGGGTCCCGGTTTTGGCCCCTTTTTGTAAGGGTGCTGTGCTATATTGGGGACCTAAAGAGGGACCCTAATTTAGGGAACTACACATATGGGTTCTGGATTGTTGTCTTTTCGTTTTTATTCTGTCGCCTTATCGCTACGATTGGATGATGGTGGTATTATGATGTCTACAATTAGCATGATGATGATGACGATTATGTTTGCGACTCGAACTATGATGAAGCTTACTGTGTGTTTGCAACTCTTCTTATTCTTGCTATGCAAGTCTAGTCGTCATCACCATCACCATAGTACATATACGTATATGTATATACACAGATGCATGTATGTATGTATGTATGTATGTATGTATGTATATATATATATGTATATATATATACATACATACAGACATGCGTTTTTAATGTTTGTTGGGTTCTCCGGTTTTTAAAAGCGAAATTTTGGTATCTTCCTGCAGGGTTCCTAGGGCAGGGGCTGTGGGGTCGACGGGGTCCTCGTGATAGAAAGAGACTTGACAGAGTGCTGTAAGGCTTCATCGAAGCTCATGGGTCTTACGATCTTTGCTAGGAGCTGTTGCGTGACAGAATTCCGCTCATTGACCGTACTAGAAGTTTACCATAAGACGGGTCCCATGAGGCAGCATCATAGAGACTAGACCCTAAACCCTGAAGCCCCAAGCCTCTTACCCCTAAACCGCCTGAACCCCTAAAACCCCAAACCCTGGACCCTAGAGCCTAAACCCTACACCCCTAAATCCTACACCCCTGAACCCAAAACCCCCAAGCTCCTAACCCCTAAACCCCTCAAGGCCCCTTAACCCCCAAAGCTGGCGTTGGTTCATAAACCTTAAACCCTAAGGGCCGCATGTCCTGGTCTAAAGATGACTAACATGGGAGCCCGAATAAGTAATGATAGTATGCTGCAGGGCTTTTTGTTAGACTATGCTATGCTGTAGTAGATATACTAGACTACCCCATACAATCCTATCCCATGCTATCCTATCCCATACTATACTATCCTACATCACGTCAGGTGGAGAGAAGGTCGACGGCAAGAATTCGGACAACTGCAAGGCATCGCGAGCTGCTGTAGGGTTCAGCGTTCAAAATATAGGGTATAGTCAAGGGCTAAGGGTTCCACAGTCGAGGATTGCATCAGCTCCTCAAGCACTAAGCCGTAAACGCGCACACAGATCAGTATAAATATAAACAAAATAAACAAATAAAATGAATATATATATATATATACACATATATATATATATATGTATGAAAAATAAAGAAGTAAATACATAAACACACACATCGAGAGAGAGAGAGAGAGAGAGAATGATTTCACACCGCACGCATGGCATAGGTCAGCTCAGAACTCTCACCACTTCCCTTTTCGATCTGCAGCTACGAGCTAGGATTTGGCTGCTGTGCGCGTTTTGTTCGAAGCAACTTGATCAACACATTTGCATGGTATGATGGTGTTCAGTCAGCTTGACCGGCTTTACAAGATTGTGCTGAAGAAGGCAACTGAGACTCTCTAGCTCATTAGGCCTTCCGGCTTTCATCAAGACATTCGTGGACTCAGGCACTAAACAGCTTCGCACACCTGAGCTGCTCTCAGAGACTTCGTGTGCACGACAAATTCCCCCCGCCCGTAGTTTGAGCAGGAGCATGGCTGCAAAGAAGCTACTGTACAGCCTTCATTAGTTAGTTGGAGTTACAAGTGCCCTACAAAACCCTAAACCCTAAACCCTAAACCCTAAACCCTACAAAAGCTCCTGCCGACCCTTTCTTGCTTGGCTAAGAGGTGGGCTTTGGCACCTTCCCGAGGCCAGGAAGCTGTTGCAATCTCCTTGTGGCAAGAGCTTCGGAGTGTAATTAGGATTCGAGGGTTTAGGGTTTAGGGTTTAGGGTTTAGGATTCGAGGGTTTAGGGTGCTTTTGTTTAGGATTTCGGGTCTCTGGTGTTACGCAGAGTGTGGCTTATTATGACGTTTCAGAGATTGCTTCGTCTCAGCTCCATACAAGCCGGCTTCGGGGTTTCCGCTTTGCGTGAGGGGCTGAGACGCCCTTGGGCTCAACCTCGCGAATATCAGCTTTGCACCAAATTGGATGTAGGGCTTATAAGGTTGTAATAAAGGATACACCATGTACGAAACAAGATCCGTAATCTGCAAAAACTGCTATAGCACACTATAACATGCCACGAAGTTTCAGTCCCACTGAAGGACGAGGAGCTCGACCGCCTGTTGAGGGAAGATCCCGCCGTGAAAGCGGCAAAGGCGGGAATCTGCTTTGAGTAGCTTTAGGGTTTCGGGTTCCCTAAACCCTAAATCCCAAACCCCTAAACCCATAAACCCCTAAACCCTAAACCCTAAACCCCTAAACCCTAAACCCCTAAACCCTAAACCCATAAGCCCTAAGCCCTAAACCCCTGTTGTGACGTCCTTGGTGTCTTGCGCGAAGGCTCGCTTGGCGGAGTTCTTCCGTCTTCTGGCAGAAGATGATGGCTACGACGTCCCTGGTGCTGTTCCGGAGACCCTTTGCAAGCCAAGTCTGAACAAGATAACTATAAACCTAGCGGCAAACATGGGAGACATCAGCAACCGTATCGCTAAGACGAGCTAAACCAGCATGTCATAAGGCTAGTCATGGTCGTCAGGATATGTTTGATCATAGCAACACCTGTTCCGTGAAGTCGCTTGCGACTTGCAGGAGACCATGCGCTCGAATGCCAGGCCAGCTCGTTCGCAGTAATGGGACGTTGCTTATTGCTATTTTTTAACTATACTCTTATTATTGTTCTTGTTGTTGTTGTTGCTGTTGTTAATTAAACCCATCGAATCTTTGCATCCCTAAATGCTACCATGAAGAACACCCCACCACCGAACCCCAGAGCGCTGCCTGCAGAGCTTTCCTTGGGGACACGATCTTGTGAACGTGCCACACCCTTCCCCCGTCCACACCAGCTGAAACCCGAAACCTCAGACCTTACCTACAGTCTCCATTGTAGTTTTTTTGGTTAACCAAATATATATTAAAGGATCCTAACCATAAAATTGGCTAAGCAAAAAAAGGAACTACAATGGAGACTATAGGTAAACCCTAAATGGGGGTTTCCGGAAATAGGGGACCCTAATATAGTACCCTAAATAGGATCCCTACTATAAGGACCCCAAAATAAGGTACCCCTTGTTTTCGGAAACTCCCAAATCCCAACCCCTAGACCCTAGGTCCTGAAGCTGGAGCCTTAAAGCCCCCATCAGTCCCTGGCTTGGGCCTGAAACCCCGCCTTGTACTTGGGGCCCCTACAGCCCCTAGCCTGACTGAGCCTGAAGCCAAATTCAACCCTAAACCCTAAACCCTAAACCCTAAACCCTAAACCCCTAAACCCCTAAACCGAAACCGAGCCCTAAACCCTAAACCGCATGCAATTCGGTATCGTGGGAAGCAATGCAAAAGGCTCGGAAACCATGGCCAGCAGCAGGAAGGCACGGGATGATGGGATCTGCCTGCAGGTGGTTTTGCCTTCGGAGTGTGTCTTAGATTGCGTCGTGCATGGACGTCAAACCGGGGCAGGTGCATAGCACAACTACCTGGAAGCCGTTGCAGTCGTTAAGTTTGCTAGTCGAGGTCTGCGCATCACTACCAGCCTGACTTGTAAACCCTAGATTGAAACTAAACCCTAGCCCTAAACCCTACATTAGTGGCCAAATGCAGCCAGTGAGCCTTCTGCTGATGTGATGTCTAGTGATGGTGCTAGCAATAGTGATCTGTGAAGTGCAGGCTCTATCACAGAGCAGGCTCTTTTAACTGTTCGACTGTCGTGCGGAGAAAGGGTCATTGCATTGAAAAAACACCCTAAATGAAAGCTTAAACCCTCATGTCGGACCGCACGAGCTTGATCGAAGCCGCTTGAAGCACAGCGGACAGGTCGATGAGATTCATATTCGTTTGTTTTGCGCTGTAGTATAGAAACATGAATAAATTGAAACCTATGGGTTCCTTATTCTGATTGTAATATATACATATGTCATATGTTACATATGTCGAAACCCCAAAAGCCTCAACCCCAAACCCCAAACCCTAAACCCCTAAACCCTCAGCGGTTTACCCGGAGCTAGCGGTTGCCCCAGAACCCCAGGCTCGGTCGTGTTTGAATGGCAAAGGTCCGAGGGTTTGGGGTTTTAGGCAGAATCGCCCTAAGCTACACACTCCCAAGTTAAAAATCTAAACCCTAAGCCCCATTGACCCTTAGCCCTAAACCCGATACCCTAATGAAATATTAACCTCATTGTAAGACCTACAGCTTTAGCCCTGAATCGCTTAACTCCTTCACCTTCACAGGCTATTCATCTTGGCAACAGAGTGCCTGAGACCAATCAGGGAGCGACCCCGCTGTGGAAAAGCTCGAGCTGTCCAACGTTTGGCCCCGTTTCAAATTCGGGTTTATAAGGTTCAGGAGCAACTGCCATAAATCCTACGAAAGGCAGTATAACCCAACATCCTTGCAACCTACATGGAACCCATGAAGTCCGGGTGATTTAGATACGCCAAGCTTGTCCTGGCACATTCTGCTTCACTGTATCTTTGTTCATGATATCATGTGGGAATGTCAGAAAACTAGGGTACCTTATTTTGGGGTCCTTATCATAAGGATCCTACTAGTTGGGGTCCTATATCAGGGTCCCTTATTTTCTGAAACTCCCATGTCGGGCTTGCATCCAGAATCCTCAGGTGCCTCTCTGTCCATGCACTGTAGCCAAGCAGCTGTTCACGAGTCTAAATCCGCGTCTCTGACTGTGTTGCCGGGCCTTTAAATGTGCAATCTGGAAACACACGCTCGATGCCCCAGATCGATCTTGCTCTAGAAGGCTTTTGGGCACTTCCAAATGCACGGCCCCCGCTGTCGTATCTCTCCATGTTACCACGTGTTTCGAGCCCATGAGCCCCGAAACTGAAGTTGGGTCTTCGTGTGGGCCTTTGCAGCTTTGCATGAAACCATGGTCATTGAAAGCTTCATGAGAAGATCATGATGGGATAATGTGGGGTAGCGGTGGACAGCTTAGGTTCTCTCATGAACCCATGAAGGACGGATGCGCTCAACATGCTTACGCGATTGTCTGTACACATGAGTGTGTATGTAATTATGTATGTATGTATGCATGTACGTATGTATGTACATATACATGTATACATATGGCACTAGTGCGAGGGAACATGACTAGTAAGTACCGTTCGTGGATTGTTCCGTGCACGAACGGCAACTTTGGGCAGGCACCGAGTACAACTGCATCGAAGCTGGATTCTTGTTTGGTAGATTCCCTAAAAACTCTGAAAACCTTAAACCCTAAACCTTAAACCCGAAGCCCAAATCCACAGCGTTTTTGCCGTGATCCGTACATGTGTGCAGTCCCAGGAGCTTTGTGATTCACGTCTTTTTGACCGTAACATATGGGGTTTAGGGTTTTAGTAGTTTTAGGGTTTAGGAGGCAGAGGCATCCCAACGGATAGTACGAAGGTGTATTATTCGCAGCACCGTGCAGTGCAAGCAACCGGACAAAGAATCTTGGCCGCTTGCACGTGCCCGAAGATGACCCCATCGGCAAGGACTCTGCGAGGCCGTGGTGGAACCCTGCGTGCAATTACTTCACAATTGACATATGTAAGTAAATCTTTGAAGGCATGTAGCACCATGTGGAGAAATTCGTCCTGTGCAGTTTCATCGGAGCCCTCTACAACTTCATGTAAAGCTACGCTGCTACATCGGAAAGCAACGATGAAGAAGTATTATGTGCATGCCGCAGGTGACTTCAGGAGCAATGCCTCTTGGGCTTCAGCCTTCTGATTTGAAGATTTACTTCAGGAGTACTGGTAGTATGTCAGCGAGGGTTGCAAGTTTGAGGTTAATGAGTAGCCCTAAACCCTCAGTCAATCGTACACCCGAAACCGTGGCTTCAAGGAAGCTCCTTTCGTCCAGTGTCCAGCGTGTGTAGGAGACTTGTTTGCCAACCGTCCCTGAGCCACTGGCTCGCACATTCTCCGTGATGATAACGACGATGATGGTGAATATACATATATATATATATATATATCTGAATGTTAGACCCGATGGCGATGACGATGGCCGTGTTGAGAGCAACCGTTGTGGAGATGACGATAGTGAGAATCTCGACCATGATGGTGATTTTGATGATGACCGTCTTCATGATAGTGGTGATCTGATGATGATCCTGATGCAGGTGGTCATCTTGATAGCGGTAGGCTTTGGATTTTGGCTTGGCTGCGGCAGGCGGGCAGACCTCGTGGAAGTGGAAGGCTCGGGGGCCCGGGTATAAGATAACAGCCTAAATGGTTACCTCATTCGAATCGCACTAGAACATATCCCAAAACCCTACTGAAACTATTAAGGCCCCTGTACGAACCCCTTACACTACCCCACATAGATCCTTTTAGAAGGAAAGCCCTCTTAAAGGAGCCCTATTCTGGTTATAACGGCCCTCACCCCTAAACCCCTAAACCCCAAGCCCTAAACCCTAAACCCTATGCATTGGACCAATGGCAGACCTCTAGGTCTGCGGCGCTTTCGGGCTCCGGCGGCCTAAGAGCGTAAGTTCAGTTCTTCGGAGTACAGTATACTGTAGTATATAATACCTGCGGTATAGTTATGTAGCATTATGTTACAGGATATAAAAGTATACCATTGTGGACTCGATGACAGTCTGTGCATGGGACTGTGGAGTTGCTTGCGCCTCACGGCCATCACGTGACGCCTATGTATCTCTATGAAAGTTCGACCGATGCACGGCGTGCCGTGACTTGCCTACGTCTATACTATGTACGCAGATGTGACGCATGTGAGGGTCGCTGAAGATGCCCTCAGGAGTGCGCCATAGACATGGGTGCGGGGTGTTTCAGCATCGTTTGCCAACACAAAGCCTATCTGGGACACACATGATGCAAAGCAGCATAAGAACATTCCACATAAGACATATTTCGCAAGGTGTGTTGGCAGTTGGCATAAAATGGTCCTCGCAGACAAGGAGAATGACCTTGCAACCAGCCAGCTTGCTTTGTCGAGCTTGCATCCGGGATTTACGTAGAGCTTGGGGTCTCCGGTTAATGTCTTTCGATAACCTCGCTCCATGTATGCCGTGCTATCTTTCTGAGAGGCAGACGAGATAATCTCTGCCCATACAAGAGCCATGAATATGCAGAAAATCACGACAATCACTCGGATGATGGACGATAGGCTAAAGACAACTTCTCCCTCTCCGAGTCTGTAGCTCCCTCTAACTCTTTGGGCAATGCTGTTCTGAACGCCCGATGCTGGTAACAGTATGTCAGCGTCTATTGACGTTTACAGTATGGTTTAGTGTCTACCTAAACCCCCAAAAGTACGTAAAATAATGGCCCCAAAACCTATAAAGGGCTATGATTCTACATACTTTGGGGTCCAGGTAGGGGTGCAGACTTTGGAAGATCAGAGCATCCTGAGCTGCGCAGGCAAAGGCTGTGCGCCGCAGCTCTTTGGATGCATGGACGCTTTTTTCAAGCCCATTAAGCAGCAAGATTAGTATTAAAGGTTGTATAGGCTTCAAGGGCTCTTTAGGGGTCTCGGTTTAGGGTTTACGGTTGAAGGAATTTCTACGGTCCTTACAAGCATACTATACGCTTCCTTTCATAACTGCTCCTTATTCTGAACCCCTAAACCCCTAAACCCACAACCCCAAACCCCCAAACGCTAACGCCCTAAACCCCAAACGCTAACGCCCTAAACCCCAAACCCTATGTTGGCACTTTGGTTCAAAGGAGGGACGCTCCTTAGGGCGTCTCGGCCGGGCATTTGGGAGTTTCCGCAAATTAGGGCGACCTACTTTTGGTGTCCTTACAATAAGGATCCTACTACCTAGGGTACTATATTAGGGTCCCCTATTTTCGGAAACCCCCATTTACATTTTTGCCACTCAGTTTCCTGTCTCGACAGGTTTTGGAAGGTTTCGAACTCGCAGAACCGACGAGCCCCACTGTATTGCGGTGCGTCCATTCTGCAGCACGTGGTTAAGAAGCATACCCCACTCAAGCCCTAAAGCTCCAAAACCCCCAAGCCAACCTGAATCCTACATCCCAAACCCCTCAGCCCTAAACCCTGAAACCCTAAAGCCTAGAGCGCAGCCTGACCCGAACGTGGGGCGGAGGTCTGTTGCTGCTGCCACTGATTGCCAGGGCCCTGACTACATGCCTAGACTCTACCCAGCACCGGGCTTTGAGCTTGCAGCATTTCAGGGTATCCATACTGGTAGTTGTCAAAATTATGGTCCCTTTTGGGGTACCTAAATAATAGGTGCCGTATTATAATAAGGACCCAAAAAGGGACCATAATTTTGACAACCACCCAATATGTTATAAACTCAGGCCCTAAAGGAGTTCCTGTATGGTATTTTTCAGGCCCATCTCTACACTGCAAGCTGCACTCTGAAGTCCCCAGGCCTTCCAAGTTAATCTTCGTGGATCAACTGCAGTTTTAGGGTGTAGGGTTTAGGGTTTAGGGTTTAGGGTTTAGGGTTGCACCAGGTGCAGCCAACCCCTTTCGCTCACCCGTCGAACAAACGCCTAAACGCGAAATCCAAAACTCGAAGCCCGAAAAGCCAAAATTCGCAAGCCCGAGAACCTAAAACCTGAACCCGAAGCCCTTAAAGCCTAAACCCTGAACCTTAAAACCTAAACCCTGAACCTTAAAACCTAAACCCTGAACCCTAAACCCTAAATTCTGAACCCCAAACCTTAAGCAACGAGCCCGGATGCAAAGGCAGCGGGCCTCCGCTGTTTTATCGGCCCCGGCTCAGGTGCGCTTTCTGGGAAGATCTGCTCAAAACAATACGGCTAAGAGCAGTATTGCTGGCAAACTGTTGTGTTTTACAAAGTCATGATATAGCTAATAAAGATAACTACCGCTAGTAAAAGAATAAGGACGATAAGAATCATGCTAATATGAGTTGCTTTAATCGTGCAGTATTGTTGACGTGATGCAATAATGGTAGTAAGCAATAGTAATAGCACTGGTGAGAGCAATCTTAAGAGTACTCGTGCTACCACTGCTGCTACTGCTACTGCTACTGCTACTACTACTACTACTACTACTACTACTACTACTACTACTACGACCACTACAATTACTGCGACTACCACTACCAATACCAGTACCACTACTGATACTTTTACCACTGCCAATAATAACAGTATTCATCATGGTAAAAGTCCTAGTATGACAACTAGCCATAGTAACCACCAAAGTAATGACGCAAGAATTGTAAAACAAAAACAAGCATAAACTGACAGTGCGAATGCCGGAACACATCAGTCACGCTTCAGAACTGTTTACTGCAGGAGGAGTTTGCATTGAATATCAACAGGAGTGTCCGCCATCACCAGATCATGGAAGAAGATACGTACCGGCAGACTTTAAAACCAGCAGACCCGCATTTTTCTCACAAAGCTGCTTCAGAACCCAGACTGCGTAGAAATCCCAAGAAGGCTCGGACAATGTCTCTTGACGTGCGGGATGTGGTATAGCGTCCTGGTGGCTCTGCTTCGCAGTCAGCTCATGGAGCTCTTGTGTTTTACACCGGCGTCACCCTAACCCCTCATCAGAAGAGGCTTTGCCTTGAACTCTGATTCACGCGTATAGTAGCTCTGATAATAACCCGTATCCTTAGAGTATCCCTTATGGTACCCTCTTAGCACATCGACAAGCAAACTGTTGCGCCATGTTCGCGGCTCGGCGGTGCTGCCTATCTTCTGTGCCCGGCAGGCTGGACCCTTGTGCTAGGCTGCGCAAGAGCTCAAACCCTTAATGCTACATAAATGTGAGAAACAGCACTAAAACCAAAAGGCCCCACAGTCGACCGCTCTCTAATGCTAACAGAATGAAGTCTAATCGGCTCTACTCTTATGAGGGTCCCCCAAACGAGACCAGGATTCAGACCAGGCTGAACACGAGACCTAACTGCGCGAATTCAATAGTCTGCCGGGACCTGGAGTCAGGGATATAAACCTTACCCATAGGCCCCATAGTAGTTTCTTTTTGTGGCTGATATTACGGATCCTATTAGGTAATCCCCAGAAAAAGAACTACTATGGGGCCTATGGGTAAACCTTATGCCCTGAAGATCCGGAGCAGTGATTCCTCAAGCAGTATAGGCGAAGACTTGCTGACGCGTCCTGCATGATCCGAAGCTCTAAGGAGGTTGACGGTTGAGAGGTTACGGTTGAGGGTTTTGGGTTTAGGCTCGCACAGATCGCAGAGGGCCGGAACTCAAAAATCGTGTAGTGTAACATTACCACTTATAATATGGATGCTTTCATTTTTGAAGGCCCCCTTTACGATGCTCCCGCAAGGCGGCTGTCACGATCGGGTCCCCGCCACAGCGTGACAGGCTGTGACTTGACTTGTGAGTGAAGGCTTAATGGGGGCCAAAGGGTTTGGGGTCTATACTATAGGTTTGAGAAGGAATTGTAAAGTGACCCCCCCCTTCTCGTCCGAATATAAGCAGACTGTAAGGCACCCCACACCCCTAGTCTAATCGGTCAGGCCCGTATATGGGGTCTTGTCGGAGTCTGATAAGATTCGGGGGTCAGGGCTTATTCTGGCAGTTTGCATGCTCGGAGTTGGAGGTTTACCGGGTGTACAGCCAGGGCATGAGTTTAACCGCGAAGCTCACGGAGACCACTGGAGCATCTTTGTCCCTTCCTGGCATGCGTCCGCAAGATCTTCCCCAACGGCACCCATCTGCCGTTCTGCTCAGGCGAGATGTTGGTTGCCTAACCCCAAAATCCTCACAGGAGATGGAAGCTGGCAAGCCCAAAACCTTGAGATGAAGACCAGACATGTGATCAGGAATGGCCGTGGTATGCTGGCGAGGGCAAGCCTATAGTGTGAGCAGATAAAATCGATGGTTCTGGGGGTAGTAGGAGTAGACCCATGAGAGGGGGCCTAATGTGGGCAACCTGAAATCTGGAGGTTAGTAGCTGTCGTCGTCGAAGTGCTTGTAGTAGTCCCTTGAGCGGGGTGGGCCTCCACGGGCGGTGCTTCTGCTAAGTTTCAAGGACAGGTACCGGCAGCCACAAATCCAGGCTTTGGGCGTAGCATCGGCTTCAGGGCGAGGCTGGCGGCTTTTAAGGGAGTTTGAGAAAATAAGGGACCCTGATATAGGACCCTAAGTAGTAGGATCCTTACTATAAGGACCCCCCAAAAAAGGTACCCTAGTTTTCTGAAATTCGCTTTTCCCTCCGCGATTTTCCCAGCACCAAATCTTGAAGCCCAAGCACTGAACTCTAAAACGGATCCCGGCCGAGGCCGCATGAGCCGCACTCCCCCCTCGAACCCCAAAGCCCTAAACCCAAAACGCTAAACCCTAAACCCTAAACCCCAAAACCCTGAACCCTAAACCCTAAACCCTGAACCCTGAACCCTGAACCCTGAACCCTAAACCCCTAAACCCATAAGCCCGCCAAATCAGGCCGGCCGCAGTTTCCTAGCCTGCCGGACGAGGCAGCCCTGAAACGGATTCCTTTCCCGGGGTTGCTGTAAGGGTTTAGGGGTTGAGGGGTCTAGGGATTTAGGGGTTTTGAGTCTAGGAAGGCTTACTCTGAAGGTTCCGATGCGGGTTCTAAGCGTTTTGAAAAGGGCAAGGCAGACGTTCGGGGTGGCTCACATGCCAAGCGATGTCTCCTGTTGCAACAGCCTGAAACTCCACATACCAGCTCCTTTCTCTGAGTTTGAACTGTAAGATAAAAGAGATCAACGACACCGAGTGAAGTCACGAGGATGTGTTGACGCATATCTTGAACTCGGCGAACTCCCACTCCTGAAGAAGCCGTTGGGGACGTCGAGCGCGTGGGTCATGGAGACAAGGAGCGCGCTGACAATGAATGCACGAGACATTCCAAAAGCGGCATGAAAGTGAAGTCATCGAACAAATGCGAGAAATTAACCTTGCAATGACACTGCTTGCAGATGCTTGCAGCAACACATAGCGGCAGCGTATGCTTCACAAAGCATACTACCAGGCGGAACCCAGACAGGAGGGGAAGGGAAGAAGTCAAGACTGTCAGTCAGTGTCACCGCAGAAAATACCCCAAATAATCAGTTGATATCACCGCAGCGATGGGATTCTGTGGCCTTTCTCACATGCACCATCCAAGCAAGAACGGCTTCGTCATAAGACGGCTGCTGGCCGCGAGGCCACCCAAGTCTAGCCTGAAGCACCTCAGTAGGGCGACGAGGTCTGCCGTCACTCGTGCTAGGGCAAGCCCAAAGCGTATGAGCGTCGAGTCCTGCAAAACGGACAGATGTCACTGGTTTGGGTGGCAACACCATAGGCCAGGCAGCAGCAGGACTGCAGTAAGCACCAGTCAAAACGGCAAAACGATGAGCACCCCACCACTTGCTTGAGTGCGAGCTTGCATCGCTGAGAACCATAAGCCATGACACGCCAGCACAAATTGCCATTGCGCTGCGAACATTGCCAGAAATGCGCCCGGAAGCCCTCGCGGGCAACTGGTGAAAAGCGGACTCAGCACTGGAACGCCAGCGAGGACTGTGACTAGGTGTGTTTAAAGCAACAGAAGCATGTGTAATGCTATGTTTCCAATGCCAAGGACTACTGTACCAAACTTCCACCCATACCTTTAGTGGCAGTGAGGACCCGGAAGCCAAAATGAAGCCGATGAGCCCTAAGAGCATCTCGAAGATCAGGGAAGACATAACGAGGCTCATGCAAAGCTTTCTTTATAATGGCCATTTGGACTTCACGTCAAACCGTCAACGTGGGAGGCTTGAAGCACCGTCCAAACACAGCTTGTCCAAGCGGGCCGTTAGCAACAACCATGCGCTTCATCTGCCAAGAAGATGTGTTGACCAGTACGCGACACGATTCATCAGACTCTATGACAAAGTCAGCTGTAAGGCAAAATCCTTCTCTGACTTGATACCTCGCTCATACGAGCAGGAGCCGCCCTCCTTTCTCAGGTGAGACATTGAAGCCAAAAGCCACTTTTTGAGGCCCTACAGGTGCATGGCTCTGGTGTTTCTTCAACCTCAATCCCCAAGCCCACACGAATCAACGCCACAGAAGATTGCTTCATTTACTGTCGCCGACAAGCACAGCTTGGTTGGCGGGAGTTTGAGAAAAATCAGGGACCTGAAAATCGATCCGAAGCAGTACCGTAGGTTCCTGAGAGCCCCTAGCTGCAATGGTACTCCCCTGTGTAAGAGGCAGTTTGCCGTTGAGAGTGCGCATGGCAACCTCGTACCACCAGCACTCAGCGGTTCGGAGTTTAGGGTTCAGCTATTGCGTTTTAGGATGTTAAGACCTTCCAGAACGAAGCCGCAGGAAGTCCACTTCGCACCATGTACCGCTAAACCGTAAACCCTAACCCTAAACCCTCAAGCTACCCCGATAGCAGCAGAGGCGAATGACGAGCTTTCCGTTGCAGAGCTCACTTCAGCGATCAGCTCTTACGGCAGAGGCTGGCCGAACGCGGGGATATATAAGATCGTTCAATGGGTCAATAAGGTTTACTGTAAACGATTACTGTAAGGGTCACTATGTGGAGGCGCCGCTGATGTCTGACGAAGGTTACGACCATTTTCAGTAGGTCCTTACGTAAAGCTAGCAGCCAGCAACAACGGTAACTAGCACTGTCCTTCTAAACTTTCCTACTCTTCATCAACAGAGACTGTAGAGCTCTGATTTGAGAGTTTGCACGTCTTCCCTAAACCCTCCATTTCGCTATACGCAGTGGGACCTTGGATATGTTCTCTTTCTTGGCCCCGATATCTCCCACAGTCAGCCTATGCTATCCCGCTATCTGATAAGCTTCGTTATTACTACTACCTGCGATGATTGTGATTCGAGTGTGAGTATGAGTAAGCGTGATTCGGATTTCTACGAATAGCGTTATGCTATGTTATGTTATGTTAT